GTGTCCTGCTGGCTACGACGTGGGACCCAAGCCCAGAGGGTATCTTTGTGAGATAAATGTGAGCCAGGCTTTTCTGCCCCCAGTTCTGAATTCAGGGTAAAATCTTGTACTAAGAAAGACCATCTCCATCGGGGGCTAATTCTGCTTCCGCTGTCAACTACCTCAGGGATGTCTCTTAACCCTCCGTGACTCAGTTTGCTTCTTGGATAAATGGGTCTCGTTACATTATAGATCTCATAGGGTTGATATCCAGGAACAAGTGGACTGGGTTATTATTGTTAAAAACCGAGCATACACTTACATATAAAAACACGCTGAGTTCTCTGTGTATGTTAAGATAAATGAGACAAACACAACTCATTTATATTTGTTGCTAAGGTAGCAAAACATTTCTCATGGCTATACTCAATGGAGCTTCATCCCAGAAGTGTGGCCTGAGAAAAAAGGAAGAATTAAGGAGAAGGGTCAGGAGCTGCAGGTCAGAATGACCAGAGCCAGGGCACACCGTGCTGCTTTCACAGGCAATACCCAGTCCCTAGTGCTGGCCTTCGTTCTTCTGGTCCCCCTTTCCTGCAGCACCCATCGGTATCAGCCCCGCTCCTCATGAGAGAGAGAACACTGAGGCCTGGGGTTCATTATTCCTTTGCCCATGAGCAAGACATCCTGAGACAGCCTCCTCCACCTAGCTCCCTTTCTCTCATTTCCTCCTCTTGTTTTCCTCTCTAGCAGGGAGTCGGGCGGGGGGGGGGGGGGGTGGGTTCAGGGAAGCAGAGGGAAATAATTACATCCTGGAGAAAGCATCTCAGGCCCCACTTCTTTCTGGAAGAGCTACTTTGTGATGGTGGGTGGGTTGTAGGGACTGTAGGTTCACCAGACCCTGTGCCTGCATCCTCTCTGTTCACCCAGCTGTGTGTGACCTTTGCCCTGTACCCAGATGTTCAGGGTGAGCAAGATAGCCTGGTGGTGAAGGGAAGGGGCTGGGCAATGGCCAGCAGGCTAGGCTGCATAGCTGTCAGGAGATGGCAGGTAGATTGTACCAGGGTGCCCTGTTAGACCAGCTTGTGCAGGATGGGAACAGGATAGGATTAACAGAGGAGGCCCCACCGTCCCACAGTGCCCATGTGGGAGTGAGTTCCAGCACTGGCCACATTGCACACACTGAGCTCCAACTTCTGGGCCAGTCCATGCCCTGATGACCTGGGTTGTGAAGGGGCTGGCAGGGGCGAACTGTCTGGGGCAAACTGTCCTTCCTGTGCTTGTCTCACCCGCACTTTCACATGGTTCTCAGTGACACCCTCTATATCACTGTCCCAGGAGCACCGTCAGCATGGAGTCTGGATGTTGCTGAAGTTGCCTCTTTCTGATCAGGGGCCTGGCTTGGGGAAGGTCTGCCCTTGTGTCTCCCAGGTCTGGCTTCATGTTGTGACATGGCCGTTACCTTTCTGAGTTGGGAGGAGCACAGATAGCATCAGGTGGACCTCTGAACTGTGAGCCAAGATTAAACTGGGAGGGAAGTTACAGAACCCAGTGGCTCGGTGGCTGAAGTCCATGGAGGAGTGTGGACAGCTGTCAGTGGATGTGAGGCACTGGCCTCCTGGAGGGGAAAGGCTGTGAGAGCAGCTGCTTCATTTTGTGGAAGCTGAGGGTTGGCTACAGCCAGCATCGGGAAGGCCAGTCTTGGCCATGTTCTGCGTTTTCCATTTATGGAATAATTTCCAGCGTCTCAAAGGAGAGGAGATTCTTTGTGGTGATGCAGGATATTCCAGTAATTTTTATACTTGTTTGGTTTAGCTTGGAGATAAGCAATTCCATTATTTTAAGCCTTTAATTTAAATCATTAATTGGTCTTCATCAGTATCACAAACTGCCAATAGTTTCTACAAAAAATGCTAGTTCACCCAAAACACCATTCTTGCCCTGAACATTTGCTGGCCTTTCTGATGTGTATGTGTGATGAGGGCGGCAGCTGGCCTCCATCCCAGGGCTGTGAAATCCATTGCAGGAGATCCAGAGCAGAGGCCAGGACCAGCCCTCTTCCATATGGAGGTCTGTGAGAAGCCTGTGAGTTCTGGCCTCATCGGTACATAGAGGTGGTCTCCTGCCAACACCGCAAGGCCAGCAGCGTGGCCCTCTGGGGGAAGGAAGGAGGGAAGGCCAGGAGTGGTCCTCTGTGATCTACCCTAGTAGGAAGGAGAGAGCACTGCATGCTTTGCATAGCTGTGTGTGGAGGGCTGCCTTGCTGATGGTATAAAACAGCTCTACCATACCCGTGTCCACTGCCGACTCCTCACTGGACCCCCGGACACCTGGAGCCTCCAGTTCCCTCTCCTCCACTGCACGAGTTCCTGACACATGTTCTTGCTGCCTGGGATACTCACAGCTCTCCAGTGGGCTGGTGACTGCTAACAGGTGGCCTTTGAAGCCCATCTCGTCTCACAGTTTCTCCAGGGAGCCTTCCAGATTCTCCTTCCCTTAAGGTCAGGATCTGCCGTCCCTCTTGTGGGCACGGCCTCCTTCAAGCCCGAATCTGCTTGCCCCTGAGGGAAGCACTGGTCCTGTTCTTTGTTTCTGGGACCAGCATGGCTCTCCCATGTCTATTGGTCGAGGGGCTCCCTGACTGTCCACTGGGTTTTGCTGCTTTTCTGACCAGGCCTCTGCCGCCGACTACAGGGGGGCTCTGTGTCTGCTCCCAGAATTGAGGATGAAGGGAAGGCCGGTGGAAGCCAGGCCCTGTGAGCCACACACAGTGAGTGCAGCACTGGCCCAATGGCCAGTTGGGACGCTGATGCCTGCGAGGCCCACTGTGTGGACGTGGCTGCAGATGCCACCACCCCAGGACCACGTCATTAAGTGGCCTGTGGTGTTGGAAGCTGGGGGCAAGAGCTGAGTGCCACCCCCACTCCCAACACAGTATTTCCTTTGCAGAGGCTGCTCTGAATTACTGTGCTTCCTGTGCCAGCAGTTATGGTGAGCTCAGAGCCAGCCAGCTGCGTCCTCTTCATGAAGCTATTGTCCAGGCCCCACTGGCTCTGGGGTACATCTGGACATGGCCAGATGTACCTAACTTTAGGAAGAGAAAGCTCCATTCCCCGTGGTCACTGTGGTCCAGCCATTCAACACTGCTTTCTCTCCAATGCCGTCGTGTAGTTCATGGCTTCTCCCACAGGCCACTATGGGCTTTGGAGTGGGCGCAGTACTCTAAGCACCCTCCTCCCTCGCTGCCCCCCCTCCCCCGACACAGGGCCACATCTCAAGGCTAGCGATGCCCTGCACCAGGTCTGCCAGCCACCTTTCCAGTGTGGCTAGTGGCAGTGACTGTGGTGGCTGCCTCACTGTCCCAACAGGGAGAGGCCGTGGAACCCTTCAGCCAGTGTCAGCACCGCTGCAGAGGCCTTCACGCCTCCCCTTCCCTCCATGGGCACTGTCTGGGCATAGTGTGTTACATTGTTGACTTTAGTGTGCATTTTCTCTTTCCATGTACGTTTCCCCTGCCCATCCCACAGAGAAGAGCAAGCTAGGAGAGATTAAATAATTCACTGCCAGGCGCCGGTGGCTCACGCTTGTCATCCTAGCTAGGAGCTGAGATCTGAGGATCACAGTTCGAAGTCAGCCCAGACAGGAAAGTCCGTGAGACTTTTACCTACAATAAACCACCAGAAAACTGGTAGAGTGCTAGCCTTGAGCTGAAGAGTTCAGGGACAGTGCCCAGGCCCAGAGTTCAATCCTTACAACCAATTAAAAAGAGAGAGAAATTTACCATGGCACAGTGAACTGGATTTGGGGGTCATTTCACCAAATCTCCTGCCTCTAAAATGCAGGCTGTTATCTGTCTTCATTTTTCTGTAAAAACCCCAAATAGATTCCAAATCAGTAAGTAAAGTTCTAAAGAACACACAGATTTTATTAAAAGTTGCAGTGTAGACTTAAAAGAAGCAGAACTTGACCCTTACCATCTATATATGGTGAGCCTACCATGAATAGAATTGTAAGCCTGGCTCTTCATGTATCTAAGAGGGATGGAGTGTGGCTCACATGGTAGTGAGGTCTTGGCTTTAATCCCAGAACTGCAAGGCAAACAGCATAAGTGGTGATACCCGGCCTAGGGTTTTTCAGCTTTTTGGTGGTTCCATAAGTTGTGTATTTCGGTGGAAACCTTGCCTTGGGTCTATAGTTGGATCTAGTCCCTGGCCAGTGATGCGTGACAGGCCTTCCTTGGGCTGGCGGCAGCAGGCACCCAGCTAGCCCTGACACTCTGCGGTGCCATGGGAACCAACTCATGGTGTCCTTCCATGTTGGGGTGCTTGCAAGCGCTCCCACATCCATGTCGAGCCTGTGTGCCTGCCTGTGTGCAAAGGGGCCACATTCGACAGTAGTGAGACTTGCATACTGGTGATGTGATCTCAGTGCTCCTGCAGGTGAACTTTCAAGTCAGTTCTAGAATTCCAGTACTGGAATACATAATGAAAATGAAAGTGGGAATCCCCCAGGGTGTGTGTGGAGTGGGGGACTGGGTAGCTTTATGTCCAACTTTCTCTTGGGATCCTTGTTTATGAGGTGAGCCAGGTTTTAACAGAACTTGTATTCTGCCAGGGTTCTGAGAAGGCCCCTTGAGCTTCCTGTGTGGTATGCGCACTGTGAGGGGTGGGCCTGTGCAGGGTGCTGTGGCCGGGCCCGGGAAGTAGGAGGGAGGACTCAGTAGATGAGAGACCTGGGTAGCAGGAGGGCAGACTGTGGAGGACAGAGAGGTATGGGGAGAGGATGGCGAGGAGATAGAGTAGGCGTCCAAGGAGATGGGGCCTGCAGAGCAGAGAGCCACAGGGTGGGATGGCAGGGGCTGGAGGATGGGAGGGTCTGTCCAGGCTTCTCCTGGATGACGTCTGGAGCTGCCTCCTCTGGAAGCTGGAGGGGAAGGGTGGCTGGGTGGGCTGCCAGGGGCACCAGCGCCTGCGTGGGGCGGGCGTGGTGACCGCAGGAGTGAGTGCTTTGTCTGTGGGTTTCAGGTCCAACCCGAAAGATGCCCCCTGGTGCCAGTGCCGTGGACTTCTTTCAGCTCTTTGTCCCAGACAACACGCTCAAGAGCATGGTGGTGCAGACCAACATGTACGCCAGAAAGTTCCAGGAGCGCTTTGGCAGCGACAGTGCCTGGGTCGAGGTGACACTGGCGGAAATGAAGGCCTTCCTGGGCTACGTGATCTCCACCAGCGTCTCGCACTGTGAGTCTGTCCTCAGTATCTGGAGCAGTGGCTTCTACAGCAACCGCAGCCTGGCGCTTGTCATGAGCCAGGCCCGCTTTGAGAAGATCCTCAAGTACTTCCACGTGGTGGCCTTCCGCTCCAGCCAGACCACGCCTGGGCTCTACAAGGTGCAGCCCTTCCTCGACTCCCTCCAGAACAGCTTCGACGCTGCCTTCAGGCCATCCCAAACCCAGGTGAGGCCCGCCCGGAGCAGGGGCATGGCCAGGTGCCCTGCCCCCGGCCCTGCCCTGGCTAGGAGAAGGGGCAGGACTTCGTCTGCCCCTGCTCTTCCTTTGCCTTGTTACTGTTGTCTCTTTGGAGGAGAGGGTAGCAATTGAGGTGGTGACCCACAGACCAGTCAGAATTCGGCCCTTGCGGGGCGTTCCAGCCTCTCTTCATCCTTCTGACCCTCCAGTTGTCCTTCCTCTTCTAGTGAGGCTTTTGTTCTGGCCAATGTAATCATCTCATCCTAACCTCTGAGTCTGAACTCATCTGGTGGTGGCAAGAGGGCTGGGGCCTTCTGGGGGGCAAAGCAGTGAGCTGGACCTGCAGTACTTCTCTGGTCCTGGCTGCTTAGAGCCCAGACAGAAAGTTAGCCAGACCTCATCTCAATGAACTGGGTGAGCATGGTGGTAGTGTTTGTACTCTATAATCCCAGCTGTGCAGGAGGCATCATGGTACAAGGCCAGTCCTGTGCATAAAACACAAGACTCTACCTCAAAAGGGCTGGGGCATGACTCAAGCGGTAGAGCACATAGGCTGTGAGTTCAAACACCAGTACCACTCCCCACTCCCCAAATTTACTCTGTTGATGTTGCAGACTGAAGAGGTGAGGGGATTTCTCTAGCCCATCTGGGAAATGCTTGGCCCATCTGAGCCGGATTCCCTTGGCTTGTTCCACAGGCAGTTATTTACTTATTTTTATCAGTTGTGGGGCTTGAACTATGGGCTTGGGCGCTGTCCTTCTGCTCTTCAGCTCAGGGTGAGCGCTCTACCGCTCGAGCCACAGCGTCACTTCCGGTTTTCTAGTGGTTGATTGGAGATAAGAGTCTCACACTTTCCTGCCCTGGCTGGCTTTGAACTGTGATCCTCAGATCTCAGCCTCCTGAGTAGCTAGCATTACAGGCGTGAGCCACTGGTGCCCAGCTTAAGCAGTTATTTTTATATCGATGGATCACCGTGATTTTGATTTAGGTGCACAGCTGGGTGCCGCAGGGCTTTTGAAGGGATGAGGGCTCCTGCTGCACATGGGCCCCAGGTGCCAAGTTCTCCTTGTTGCACATAGCAGGCCGATGCCGGATGTGCAGGTGTTGCTGCCCACTTTCTGGCTTTTCCCTCCTCTCTCCTCTGAGAAGACTTGTCCATTCTCCAGGGCCCAGTGCTCTCACATGCTGCCTTTCCCACTTTCCCTCAAGACAGAATACAGACCTTCCTTCTGATAGACTCTGGGGCCAAGTGCCAGCCTGGCACAGGAATGAATCAGATCAGAGACATGTTGACTGGATGCCAGGAAATTAGCCATCCTTGGGGACTGTCCTCGGGGCTGGGTGACTGGGCACCTCAGGCCCAGGCCTCTCTTAGGAATCCAGCTGCCAGTGGGGCAGGGGCGGGGGGGGAAGGGGAGGAGTCAAGGGGTGGATGGTGGATGGCAGACACATGGCAGCCCAAGGATGGGGCTGCTGGGAGCCCTCCAGTGTCCAGTCCAGTCACCTGCAGTGCACTGACTGCATCCTGCACTTACGCAGACCTGGCCGCCTGGGAACTGGACACAGGGTCATGCTGTGCCTTGCTGCAGTACCCCCAGGGACCTGCGGTTGGGGGTCCGCCCCTGTCAGCCCTGGTGTGAGTGTCTGAGGTAACAGAGTCCTTCCTGAGCCTGAGCTGCAGATCGAGTGGGTTTTCCTTGGTCACAGGGCCCCAGTGAGTCATGCAGGCCCAGGGACAGGGTGTACATTCTGCCCTTGTACCTCTTACTGCCTCTTTGATGGGGCTCGGGTAGGATCTCAGGTCAGGCTCACTCCTTCCCCTTCTCCTTTTGCTCTTCTTGGCTTTACATAGTCTTTATTTTCTTCAGCACTTTTCCCCTAATTAATCTGATGTTTTGGCATTGGTTGGGATCCAGGTGGAGAACAAGCGAAATGTATGGGAAGAGTTGGTGGCCCAGGGTGCTGACAGGACTGAGAGGATGGGGCAGCATTGGCCAACAGCCACCTTGGTGGCAGGGCATGAAGGGCTAAGGCCTTGAGAGGTCTCAGAGCCCGGGATTGTCTCGTGGCCACCTGTGCTGGAGTCCGGCTGCAGGAGCCTGGTGATGTCTTGTATAGAGGTCAGCTCTGGGACCCAGCCAGCGATTGAGAGCATCATCAGTCTTGGAGGTCCACGGAAGGTGGGTGTGGAGATCTGTGGAGCACAGTTAGGTGTATCGCCACTACCTCACACTCCTGGGCTTTCAGAAGGCTCTGTGCTCCTTCCTGCCTAGCCAACAGTGCTCCTGCTCTCCTTGCTGAGCCTGCAGCGGCACCCCAGGGTATGGTGCTTGGCTCTTCCTGCCCTTTGTGAGATCCATGGAGCAGTCCCCTTCCCTCAGCCTTGTAAGATGTTGGGTCCTGGGAGAGGCTCTGTGCTCACTCTTGTGCACGTGCTCCCAGCTCCTGGAGCCTTCCCCAGGCTTCCACATGCGGCTGCCTCAGTGTCAGCAAGGGTGGCGCTTTGAGGCTTTCAGAGCCCTCAGAGGACCCCAGAATCTATTCACAACAGAGCGGCAGTGTGTGCAAGCATGTCCGTGTGTGACCGTCACATGCAAGTGCAAAATGGAAGACATAGTGTTTCCTCTAAACTACCGCCAGATTTGTGAGAGAAATGTCCCCAACATACCCAGAATGAGCTTGTCATAAGACACAGTGTGTGCAGTGGGTGTCTGCTACCCTGCGCTGTGCGGCTCATCAGGCCCAGCCTCAGTGCTGACCGGAGAGGGTAGGGTGTCAGAGGCTCGGAGCTTGTCGTTGGCCCTGCTGTGCCGTGATGCAGGTTTGTGTATTTGCCAGAATGAGGTCGAGGCGGCTCACTTTCCAGGTGGCTGAGGCACGGGGCGTGTGCAGGCCTGGCAGGGGCTGGCAGGCACTGAAGGCTCCTCTGTGCCCTCCTCCCTGTCTCTCTGCTCCTCACTGTATGTAGATTTTTCATTTGGATCAAATTGAAACTTGGAATGTTCTGGACCCACAGTATGAATGTGAGCTTGAGGGCCTGGGCGTAGCATGGCAAGTCTGGCCTCCTCAGTGTCTTGTCCTCGTGACCGGAGTCAGGAACTTCCAGCAGTAAAAGCCCAATGTGTTGAGTGTGTAACCCAGACCCACCCAGTTCAGGCTTGGGTTCGAGGACCAAGGTTTGAAGCCAGCTTGGGTAGAAAATTATGCAAGATTGTTATCTCGAATTAACCAACAAAGAAGTTGAATGGGGAGGAGAGAGAGAGAGAGAGACTAACAGAGAGACAGAGACAGAGAGAGAGAGCATGCAGGCGGGGCATACGTGCCACGTGTTTTATACTGTCCCCAGATGGTTGGTTTGCTCAGATGTTCCCGGCAGGTGACCAGGTAGACTTCCTGTGGTCTCTGTTTGGGCTTGTCAGTTCTGCCACTGCAGCCTCAGGGCAGTCTTAGAAAGTATGTAAGCTGGTCAACACAGCCATGTCCTAATAAAACTTTACTTATAGAAGGAGGCAGTGGGCTAGGCCATGCTGCGGTTCCTGACTCCTGACAAAGAGTGTGTACAGAGTTCTGGAAATCAGATTATTGCCTACGACTTTTATTTAACTACAGACATACACAGTAAATTCATAGTTAATCTTGAAATAGGACCGAAGAGAGAAGTATCACCATCCTAAAACATAGCTGGGAGCCTCCTCAAACATTCAGCTTGAAGAAACAGCGTCCAGTGCTTCCTGGAGCTGTTTTATCGTCCCATTTCTTTTCACACTGCCATCTTGTAATAGAAATGTGTTATCCAGAAGCTGATGCAGACAGAGTACCTTTAAAGTTGTCTTGGGGACCTCTGTCAGGAAGAACGGTGCCTGGGGCACAGCCAGCGGTCCTGTTGCGTCTGGCAGCAAGGCCTGGGCCGTCAGCGCCCTGTTCAGAGAGGAACTTCAGACTGGGAAGAGGAGCGTGGTCGCAGGGAGCTGTCTGAGGACCCACAAGAGGCTGGGTGCTCATTAAGGAGCAGGCACTCAGCACACGTGGGGCGGTGGTTCTTCTTCAGCACCACAGGAAGGAGGGAAGCCCAGAGAAAGAAAGTATGGTGTTTGCTTTGTTTCCTGCAGGTTTAAGTTCATTATAGAATTCGACTCAGGACTCCAGTGTTCCTTGAAAGGCTGCGGGTGCCCTCTGCTGGACACTTTTAGCCAGAGGCTGAGGATACAGCCTCCATCCCACTGGCTGGAGACCCTAGGCACAGAGATGGGACTGGATGCCAGCAACAGTGACAGCAGTGGTGATCTGAGTTGCCCACTGTCTGTGCGGAGGCTCTGCCCACTCTGGCTGACTCCTGGATGCTGGCTGATGGTGCCTCCATGTTGTGTAGACAGCAGAGAAGGATGGGAAGTTGGCCAAGGCCATAGAGCTGACTGGAGGCAGATGGCAGCTGAGCTTACCCTGCTGTCCTGGGAGACCCCTACTTCTCCCTTCCCAGCAGGTGCCACATGAATCCCTGCTTCTCCCTTCCTGGCAGGTGCTACATGAACCCCTAATTGATGAGGACCCTGTGTTCATCGCGACGTGCACCGAGCGAGAGCTACGAAAGAGGAAAAAGCGGAAATTCAGCCTGTGGGTCCGGCAGTGCTCTGCCACGGGCTTCATCATCCAGGTAAGCTGGGTGTGCAGGGCTTTGGGGGGCACTGGCTGGTCCTGGCCTGTTCCTCTGCTCTCTTCCTGTCCACTGACACCCTCTGGGTGGACAGGAGCCACAGAAACGCAGGTGTCCCCAGACAGAGGCCTTCCTCGTGCATGTGCCTCCCCATGGCTGCACAGGGCCCTGGGCTGGGTGCCTGGTGCCAGCTCAGAAGGCTGCCTGGCCTGCTGGGCTTCTACCCACCGTCTTGTACCAACCAGTTCCTTCTTCACAGCCACCAGCAGCGAGCTGGGAAATTAAGTCACCATGGTGGACAGTGGCAGCAGTGTGGGTGTGTGTTGCAGCTCCTACAGATGAGAACACGCATGTGGTGTGATTCTTCGGGACCCCCTTTGAGGCAAGGGTGCCTTTGGCACCCAGCAGCTGAGGGTGGCTACATATTGCACTAGGGCTGACTCCGGCAGCTGAGTGAGGGACAGTGGCTGTTATAGGCATTTCTGGTAGCTGATGTCAGGGTTCTGGCCCTGATGTCAGCCAGTAGTCCCTGTGGAGGAAACGTGCCTAGCCTGGTGCTTCCCCGAGTTAGATCCTTTGGCTGGAACTTTGAGGCCATGCTTTTATGTGCCTTAAGTGTAGACCCTCTGGGGTTTACCGTAAAAACCGGTTGCTTTTTGTCATGAGTGACCAAGTTTGGTGGTCTTTGGCCTTGTCCTGGTGCGGCTTTCTGGTTACAGCCTTCCTCTGGCTTCCTGGTAGAACCGGAATGGCAGGCTCAGCAGCTCTGTGGTGTGGCCGTTGATGTCCAGACTTTCCCCCAGTCCACCGCTGTAAGGACAGGACAGCCATATTTGTCAAGTGATGCCACAGTCATCTGGTGGGACAGGTTCTAGGTTGATGGCTGTTGCGTGTTCTCGACGGGGCACAGCATGATGTTTCTCCCAGGAGCACGTTGGTGGCCCAGCATGCTTAGTTCTGTGTAGACATAGGGCCATTGCTGTCCTACAGGGTCATCCTGGTCTGCAGTTAGGGCGGGCACAGGGAGCTAAAGGCACTGGTGAGCAGCCCCTGCAGAGGCTGTGGACCATTCCAGAGCGGCTGCTCTAGGATACTAGTCAGCGCCACTGGGAGTTTCTTCCTGGCTGTCCATAGGTAGGGCTGGGCTGGGTGTTCAGAAAGTCTCTTTCCCGGTCTGCTCCTTTGGTGGCAGTCATGGAGGCAGCAGAATGGCAGTGAGAGATTGTACAGCCTGCCCCCGGGTGGATGCAGAGAACAAACAAAACAGTCATGTGGGGGCATACATGGGTGCACCCCAACCTGTAAGGGGGCTTGGCGTCTGTCCATGGTGAAAGTAGGCCTGTCTCTGGCTGAGGACCAGGATTGGGGAGGTGTCGATCCCCACATACTGGCCTGTTACCTGTCACTGCTTTTCCTTCTGTGCCTTGATTTTTTTCCAAAAGGATGCATCTGTGCCGCGGACCGGGTTCTGTCGGGACGACGGAGGACACCTAGGGGAGGAACCTGGAATAGGATGGGGAGATGGCAAACAGACAACTCACACACATTAGGAGTGGATGCTGAGTGCTGAGTGCGATTTAATGCAGAGGATAACAAACTTTTATAGCAAAAGTCTCCATGAGAAAGGGCAAAAGGTTACACAATCTTGCTGCAGGGCTTCTTTTTTAGGTGGTCACCAGCTGATCGCCTGATAGGCACTTGTTTCCAGCTTATCTCTAAGAAATACAACGATTACGATGTTTGTCACCAATTAACCATTACCTATCTTTACAGAGGCCTTAACTTTCCCAAATAGGTCTTTCCTGTTTCTTCTTTAATAGTAAACCTCAAGGAGACCTGGATCTAGCAATTCTCTAGGTCTAGCAATTCTCTTAGTAAATAGCAGGAAATTCTTTCTCCTAAGTAATTATCTCAGCAATTGCCATACATTCTTTCTGTTCTAGCTGAGCCTACAGCTTCTTGTAAATCCCTTACAAATAATTCCTTCTGCTGAAGTGACTTTGTGAAAACCCCCAATACTTTTATATTTACTTATAACTTATCGCCTAGCCTCCATAAGGGGTGTTTCAGGGTAGCACTTAACTCTGGTGAGTTAGTCATATTTTTAAGACACTCATCAGATATTGGAGTCGTCAACACTCTTAAGAAAGAGCTTTGAATAAGGGAACGTTGACAATGAGCAAGTACAAAGAGCAGTAGAAGCAGTACAAGATTAATAGGCACTCTTATGCAGTGAAGAAAGGCAGAAACACATCTTTTCCCAGGGGTTTTTCCAGCCTTTTCCCAGGAGTAGGCCTCTTAGAAGCCCTATTCTCCGAGGTAGACTTCGGTGAAGTCCCAAAACTTGGAGATAGGTTTCTGTAAAGCCCCATTCTCTGAGGTAGACTTCGGTGAAGTCCCAAAACTCAGAGATAGGTCTCGAAGCCCCTATCATGGTCTGATAGATGGTTTCCCATGCTAAGCAGACTCTACTGGGGTCGGCGTGGCACATCTGGGCCAAGCCCTCGGCTGCTTGGGCTGGGTTGGGGGGGGTGTTGGCGACCATAGGGGACTGCAGGGTCTGGGGAGATGGGGTGCCTTCCCAGGCTTCAGACCAGGATGGAAGCACACACACCCTGTAGCTTGGACTCCAGCATTTTGCTGCTGCAAGTGCCCTGACCTTGGTGTGTTTCTCTCTAAGATTTACGTTCACCTGAAGGAAGGAGGGGGTCCAGATGGCCTGGACACACTGAAGAACAAGCCCCAGCTCCACGGCATGGTGGCCAGGAGTCTGTGCCGGAACGCGGCCGGCAAGAACTACATCATCTTCACAGGGCCCAGCATCACCAGCCTCACACTGTTTGAAGAATTTGAGAAGCAAGGTTTGCTGAATGGCTGTGGAGTGACAGGGAGTGGGGGAGGAGGCGGCGTGGCCAGCACAGGCTCCACTGGGTAGTGATGATGGAAAGCACAGGCCCCGCTGGAAACACAGGTTGGTCCTGGGCACTACTGGCACAGAGCTCTGACCAGTCCTCCCCACCCTGCCCCGTGTTCCCTGGTCTCAGGCTGAGACTGAGTGGGGCCCCAGGCTTCACCCTAGTGAGGACCTTGCAGGTGCCTGAACTGTCTCCCTCTCCCATGAGCTACCTTGGCTGGAGGGAAATGTGTGTGCTCAGAATAACCCAGTGACCTCAGAATGGCCTTGGGCCCCCAAGGGCCTGATGCTTTCTGTATCTGCAGAGACTGAGCCTGGCCCAGTGGAGGCAGCCAGGGAAGGCTGTGGCTCCCTTGGCTTCTCCCTGAGCTGAGGAGTACCCTGTCCTCTGGGAGCCCAGCCAGGGCCTATGCTATCCAGCCATCACCCTTAATTGCGTGCGTTTTGCTTTTGCTTATTTGGGGAGCGAGTGTCTGGCTGTAGCACAGGCTCTCGGCAGGCCTCCTGGGGTTGGGCAGGGCCGGGCCGGGCAGTGCAGGCTGTGCCCTCTGGCCTGGCCCTCTCCCTGCCCAATCTCGTGTGTGTGACTCACCAGCCATCAATGCTTGGTACTCAGGAGGGAGGTTGTGAGAGACGTTCTACTGTGTAGGAAGCAGCTCTTCGGAGGAGTCGTGGAATGTGTGGGTGCCCTGTCCGTGTCCTGTGCTTGTCTGTGATGGGTCCCCGGGGCCTCTCCATCCGCTGTACCAGGAGTCAGTAGAACTTTCCAGGCTGAGTGTGTATTGCCGTGGAGTTGCTGCCTGGTGGACGGAGGCTCTGGAGCAGAGGACCAGGGTGCCCGAGCATGGCCTGAGCCCTCAAGAGCTGGGGTGCTGTACTAGGCCTCTGAAAGGAACACATAGGACTCTAGGAGGAAGGGATGAAGGGTGTGAAATGACCTCACTGTCTGCTTTCAGAAGCGTCTCACCTCCCTCACAGCTCCTCACATGGAGTGCTGTGTGTCCTCTGCCATGACCAGGCGCATTGGTTTTTACTGTGTTATGGAGGGTCGTGTGTCTTCTGCCATGACCAGGGGCATTGGTTTTTACTGTGCCACAGAGTACTGTGTGTCCTCTGCCATGACCAGGGGCGTTGGTTTCTGCTGTGCCCCGCTAAGGGACCACCAGGACTGGGCCCATTGCGTCTTGGCCTCCTGCTGGCTTGGGGGCTTGACCAGCCTCGTAGCTTTTTCCTTAGTGTCCATGCATTGCCCTGATGATGTAGAGATTCCGGAAGCAGAGGGCTGCTAGATGCACTGCTGCTACAATGGCCTGTGGCCTCTGCCATGACCACTGTGTGTGTTACACATGCCTAGGACGTAGTGGTAGATGGTGGGGATTTGTAGCTGCTGCCAGCCAGGAGTCTGGAGGCCTCCCCCATCAGGCTCCAGGGCCTCACTGTAAGAGGCTTACACGACTGCTTCCCAATGCCAGGCATCTACTGCTGTGGCCTGCTCAGCTCCAGGAAGAGTGACTGCACTGGCCTCCCCCCGTCCATGCTGACTAACCCTGCCACCCAGCCAGCTCGGGGCCAGCACCAGATCAAGACCAAGGGGAACATGTCTCTCATCTGCTGGTACAACAAGGGCCACTTCCGCTTCCTGACCAACGCTTACTCCCCGGTGCAGCAGGGTGAGTGCCCTGAGCCCTGAACAGTGAGCACTGAATGCAGAGCCCTGAACTGTGAGCCCTGGGGACGGAGCCTCTCTGCTGCACCGATGTGCTTGTGGGAGATCCGCAGTCACCGGGGCAGGAAGACGTGCACGTGGTGCCTCAAGATTGACCAGTGGTAGCTACCACGTTTCACAGGTCTAGGTGTTCCCTCATGTCCATGGCAGTGTTTTGGGGAACAATGGTGCTCCCCAACTTTGTTGCTCAGGCAGCCTCTGTACCCTTGTACCCCATCACCTTCCCCAGTAGTGCAGGTTCTAGTCCAGGCAAAGCTCTTGGCGGACCTGCAAGGCAGGTTCTGGTTTTTGTTCACTTGAATATTTGATAGTCCTTAAAATAATGCACAAGCCGTCGCCCTGACACGTGTGGGCACCTCAGGAAGGCTCTCAGGGGCACATATGGCTTCCTGACACTGTGGCTGCTGGGGACAACGTCCTTCTCCATCCCCCCAGTCTACAGAGGCTAGGGCAGCATGTGTGGTCACCCGGCAGTGGCTGCAGTAGAGGTGAAGGGGGTATCGGCTCCCCGGCTCTGCTGGTGCAGTTTATGAGTTGTGTTCTGCTCTGCTGTGTTGGATGAATTCAGTAAACTAGTGTGTGGAGATAGCAGTTGAAGTACACAGTGACCCAGCCCAGACCCCCACCCTCCACTCTGTCCCAGTCCCCCATCCCCATCCCGTCCCGGGCAGCCCAGCGGTGTTGTCTGTGGTACTGATGCAGCTCCCGTCTCCCCACAGGGGTCATCGTCAAGAGGCGGAGTGGAGAGATCCCCTGCCCGCTGGCCGTGGAGGCCTTTGCCGCCCACCTCAGCTACATCTGCAGATACGATGACAAGTACAGCAGGTGAGTGTGGGACTGTCTGTAGGGCACGGCAGGCACTGTGCTCAGACAGACACTGCTCCACAGGCCTCGGTGGGTGCTGCCCACAGTACAGGTGCTGGTCTACAAGGAGGCACAGTGGGCGCTGTCTGCAGAGTGAGTGTTAGGCCACGGTGCAGACATTACCCACAGGCAGTATAGTATGGTGGGCATTGGTCCATGGTGGCACAGCAGTGGGCGAATGCTGGACATCACCATTTGGATCCCCAGACTGAGATCTGAAGGGTGAAGGTGTATGTGATGGCTCCGTGCCCTTGGCTGCCACGCCTCTGTCTGCCAAGCTGCCCACCCTCCAGTCCACAGTCATGGGTGTCTCAGTACACGGATCAGCCCTCACCTGTGTCCCTTATTCCTCTGTCACCCAGTGTCCACCCAAGGCCCAGGGCCTTTGCCTTCAGACTCAGTGCCTAAGACCTCCTTGGGCATGCATTGTGGGGGCACCGTATGTAGAGGGCACGTGTGGTACAGCCGGCATGGCACAGCTGTGGATGTGTGTCCTGCTTCTGTCATACCCAGTGTCACAGTGGCCACCTGAGGCCTCCACCCCTGGGCCAGCCTTCCACCAGCATAGGCGGGGCTGGCTTGACAGCTGGGCTGCCAGCTTGTTGAGCAGAGCCAGGGTGCCTAGGTGCAGTTGGCACACTCTGGCCTCCCGAGTACCCGTCATGAGGCTCTGGGGACAGTAGTGGAGCAGCTCTGCTCCGGGTTCACTGATGTCCTGAGCATACTGGGCACTAGCGCCTCATGGGTGGTGCTTTCAGAGACAGAGACAGGGTTGTGTAGCGTCCTCAGGCCACTGCAGGCTTGGCAGTCTCCCTGAGGGCAGTACCGTCCATCCACCAACCAGAGGGCGCAGAAGTAGAAGGAAGGCTGCAGAGAAGGGGCGCCCACAGGCACAGGGCTGGGGCAGCATGCGCCGTGGGCAGTGTGTGCCATGGGTGTGGAGAAGGGCTGCGGAAAGCAGGAGCTCAGGCTAGCAGGCTCTGCAGGATCTGGGCTGGAGGCCCATGTTGGGGACTCCTGTTATCCTAGTCCCTTGAGAGGTACTTCTCCTTTGGCCACCCAGCTGGCACCCACCTTCCCTGAGCCCTCCCTACAGGAAAGTTTGCAGGCTCCCAAGCCAGGCCCTGCCCCAACCCCGAGCCCACCCTCTGGGACAGTCTGCAGGCCCAAGGCCGGCCATGCCACATCAGCCGCCCCCTCTGCCCACAGGTACTTCATCTCCCACAAGCCGAACAAGACTTGGCAACAGGTGTTCTGGTTTGCCATCAGCATCGCCGTCAACAATGCCTACATTCTGTATAAGATGTCGGACGCCTACCACGTGAAGCGGTACAGCCGGGCGCAGTTTGGCGAGAGACTGGTCAGGGAGCTGCTGGGCCTGGAGGATGCCTCCCCCGGCCACTGAGGCCATGCGGCTGCCCGGGCGTGGCAGGAAGAGGAGGGAGCCTGCCCAGTGCCCGCCCTTGAGGCCTGTGTGTGGTCAGCGTTGTTCAGATGTCACGTCCTCTGAGGGCCTTCGAGCCGCATGTGTAAGCTCTGCAGACCTGGGACTTGTGTCTGCAGCACGGTGCGCGCTCCGTGTTGGTGACAGGTCTGTGGCCCGGGCTCCAAGCGGAGGCCGAGTGCACCGAGAAGCACTTCTGTGCAGATACTGATGCAGTCAGGGTCGTGCCTGCAAGACTGCACTGGGTACGGTTTGGTACCCACATTTCCCTGGGCCAGCAGCTTAGCTGTTCTGGAAGCAGAAGCAGCCGGTGCCGATGCCTGGGACGTGGGCAAGCCGCCCGCACTGACCACTGGTTCTTCTCATTTCCTCCCTCAGGGCTGGCAGGCGGGCAGAGGGGACCTGCTGGGAGGGCAGCAAAGGTGATGCTATTTTTTATTTTTAAATATATCTTCAGGTTATTTTCTTACTGTTGCTTAAGGTCTACTGTCAAGGGGAGGTGTCCCCTACTCTCCCATCCCTCGCCTCTCAGCCCTTGCATGATCACAGTTCCGTGTCTGGCCTGTGGCGGGGTGGGAAGGGCCCCTGGCTTCTTAAATGAATGTGCACAGCGCCGAGGCCTGGGAGCTGCAGAACTCCCTGTTGTGAGAAATGTGTTGCGTAGCTGAAACAAAACCCTCTGCTGAGGACCGTTTGCCAGTTGTCTTTTCTCAAAAGTGAAGTGACCCTACGATGACCCTGTGGCCCCTCAGAAAGGCGTGGGTGGCCGTGGGAGACCCTGGCCTGTTGGCTCAGTGACCGCCTGGGTCGGCCGGGGCTGTCCTCGCTGACAAGCAGCCGTAACTTGAGGTAACTCCAGTGCAGCCACGCAGCCACCTCGTTTCTTCAGACGCAGAATCTGTTCGACTCAGGCTGACATTCCTCCCTCACCCCCCACCCCCTCAGTGTTGCTGGCCGCATGCCCCGGCTTCCTGTCATCCCTGCCCCCACTTCCGTGTAATCCTGCCCCGATTCTGTGTCATCCCCTCCCTGACTCCATGTCATCCCCTCCCCGACTCCATGTCATCCCCTCCCCGACTCCATGTCATCCCCTCCCTGACTCCATGTCATCCCCCATGCTGACTCCATGTCATCCCCTCCCCGACTCCATGTCATCCCCTCCCTGACTCCGTGTCATCCCCCATGCTGACTCCATGTCATCCCCACCCGACTCCATGTCATCCCCTCCCGACTCCTTGTCATCCCCTCCCCGACTCCATGTCATCCCCACCCGACTCCATGTCATCCCCTCCCGACTCCATGTCATCCCCACCCGACTCCATGTCATCCCCACCCGACTCCATGTCATCCCCTCCCTGACTCCGTGTCATCCCCCATGCTGACTCCATGTCATCCCCACCCGACTCCATGTCATCCCCACCCGACTCCATGTCATCCCCACCCGACTCCATGTCATCCCCACCCGACTCCATGTCATCCCCACCCGACTCTATGTCATCCCCACCCGACTCCATGTCATCCCCACCCGACTCCTTGTCATCCCCTCCCTGACTCCGTGTCATCCCCCATGCTGACTCCGTGTCATCCCCACCCGACTCCATGTCATCCCCTCCCCGACTCCATGTCATCCCCACCCGACTCCATGTCATCCCCACCCGACTCCATGTCATCCCCACCCGACTCCATGTCATCCCCACCCGACTCCATGTCATCCCCTCCCCGACTCCATGTCATCCCCACCCGACTCCATGTCATCCCCACCCGACTCCTTGTCATCCCCACCCGACTCCATGTCATCCCCACCCGACTCCTTGTCATCCCCTCCCTGACTCCGTGTCATCCTCCATGCTGACTCCATGTCATCCCCTCCTCGACTCTGGGTCATCCCCTCCCTGGCTCCAGTCATCCCCTCCCCAACTCCGTGTCATCCCCACTCCGACTCCTTATCATCCCTGACTCCGTGTCATCCCCTTCCCGACTCCGTGTCATCCCCTCCCTGCCTTCATGTCATCCCCGCCCCAACTCAGTGTCGACCCTGCCCTCCGTGTCAACCCCACCCCGGTTCACCACAAGGGACTGGCCTGTGGTGGGAGCCCAGCCACGGGCCACAGGCCAAAGCTTAGGTTGTGATTCAGACACCTTTGCTGTGCCCCTTAATCGGATTGAAAGCACTTTTACCACGTGAAGAAATATATTTTTAATTTGTGATGCTTTTCTACAGGGTCCACTATTTCTGAGTTAATGTGTTTCCAACACTTAGGGAGACTAATGAAGGCTGATGAGTTTTCTTTTCTGTCCAAACAAGTAAAATAAAAATAAGTCTATTTAGATGTTGATTCTTTGTTCATATGTGGGTTTGTTTCAAACCTCCGAGACAACTATTCTGAGACTTGATTTCCTACGGTGTGATCCGAATTCTGAAGTGCTGAGTGCTTGGTAAAGGCAGCTCATTTCCAACCTTCCTGTGCAGGAAGCGGAAGCCAGGCTCCCAGTGGCTCCCATGAGGAGGGTGTGTTGGGACCCCTGTGCGCAGTGGCCTCTGGCTTCCCCCTGCCCTCTGTGAGTGCCTACATTCCTCCCTTTGCCCGGTGTGTGTCCCACTTTGACCAAGCTCTGGCCCTACGCAGTGCTTGCTGCTCCCTTCCCTGCGGGAGAGGTCTGTGGACCTCTGAAGGAGCCGTGTCTCTGTCAGTGTCGCAGCTGGTAGACCTGCAGGATTTTCAGGCAGGGACCTTTTGCATGCATTTGGAGACTCCTGGAGAGGAGGGACCAGCCCATTCAGGGGCAAGGGCCAGAGCAAGGCTGGCAGAGGCCTTTCCTATGGGCCTCCAGCCCTGCTCGCCTCACATCTGTGCTGCTGCACCAGCTGTGTGCTGTGTGTGGCTGTCCACACCCTCCGCCTTCACGCAGCCATGCCCACAGCCGTAAAAAATCCACTCACTGGGCAGTGAGGGTTTAGCATTTTCATTGGTCCTCTCCTAGATGTGGTGTTCTAAAAACTCCCCTTACCCCCTTGCGGGCTCCCCAAGCTGAGGGTGAGACCCAGCACGCCAGGTGTGTAAGGAGAGTCTGGGGAGGCAGCAGGGTGGCATGCTCTCTCGTCTGAGGCGTTTCTTCTGGTCACCGACTCCTCACCATGATGCACCGCGACAATGTGTCATTTACGGTATCATATGGTATCTCAGTGTGACATTTTTATTGTCTCACTTCTTGTGGTATAGTGCGACATTTTATGGTATGATTTGCGGTAGTGTGACATTTTTATGGTATGATTTGTGGTATAGTATGACATTTTATGGTATTATATGATGTCTCATGGTATCATGTGACATTTTTGTGGGATAGTGTGACATTTTTATGGTATGATTTGTGGTATAGAGTGACATTTTTATGGTATGATTTGTGGTATAGTGTCACATTTTATGGTATCATAGGTGACATTTTATGGTATATGGTGACAGTTTATGGTATCATAGTGGGACATTTTATAGTATGATTTGTAGTGTATTGTGTGATTTTATGGTATAGTGTGACAGTTTATGGTATCAGTGTGACATTTTATGGTATCACAGTGAGACAGTTTAAGGTTTCACAATGTGACATGGTATCACAGTGAGACTGTTTATGGTATCACAGTGTGACATGGTATCACAGTGAGACAGTTTATGTATCACAGAGTGACAGTTTGTGGTATCACAGTGTGACATAGTATTACAGTGTGACAGTTTATGGTATCACAGCGTGACATCTTATGGTATCACAGTGTGACATGGTATCACAGTGAGACAGTTTATGGTATCACAGTGAGACAGTTTATAGTATCACAGTATGACATCTTATGGTATCACAGTGAGACAGTTTATAGTATCACAGTATGACATCTTATGGTATCACAGTGAGACAGTTTATGGTATCACAGTATGACATCTTATGGTATCACAGTGAGACAGTTTATGGTATCACAGTGAGACATCTTATGGTATCACAGTGTGACATGATATCACAGTGAGACAGTGTATGGTATCACAGTGTGACATTTTATGGTATCAGTGTGACATCTTTTTGGTATCACAGTGTGACATGGTATCACAGTGAGACAGTTTATGGTATCTCAGTGTGACACAGAATCACAGTGAGAGTTTATGGTATCACAGTGTGACATCTTATGGTATCACAGTGTAACCGTTTATGGTATCACAGTGTGACATCTTATGGTATCACAGTGAGGCGGTTTATGGTATCCAGTGTGACAGCATGGACTCCTCACCTTGCCCACAGTAGTAGTGCTCACAAGTCTGCAGGATCTTATCCGATGAACAAGTCTTGACCCTATCCTAAACTAAGACAGTGACCAGGTAGGGGTCTGGTAGGCCAGGGATTGGGGGTCCAGGTAGAAGCAAGCCAAGGGGGAGCAGCAGGAGGGACTGAAGGGGCGCACACGGTGAGCTCCGGCTCAGAAGGGGCACGCTGCTGCCCTTCCTCCTGCATCTCTGGTGTGGCATTAGCTGCAGCAGTCTCCATTGCATGGGAGGCGAAGGCTGTGCCTGCACCCAGCAAGGCGGCCCCAGCACTTGAGCTGGGCAGAGAGGGAGTGGGCACAGAGCAGCTCTCCTGGAACACTGGGCTTGCGTTATTGGAGGTGGCCTAGCTGTGGAGTCTGGGCTGCCTTGTGGTGGGTGGGGGAGCAGGAGAGACAGGAGGCCAAGCCTGGCCCCCAGAGTCCAGGAGGAAGCACCATAGCACATCCACCTCCAAGTGCCTCCTCCTTGGGTCCCGGCATTCCAGGGAGCAGCGGTTGGAGCAAGAAGCCCCACGGCAAGAGGGTGAGGCGGCAGGAAGGCTGCTGGCTCTGAGTGTCCTCTGCCCCTTCTTCGCTCTCCTCCTGTTCTCAGCTGATAATTTGCAGGAGGGCCCCGCTGCAGGTGAGGTCTGGCTTGGAGCTGTCAGAGCACCCTGAGGGCACTTGCAGCAAGTCTGCATCACGAACTGCATTCTGAGGTCTGCGCGTAAA